GTCCATCTGTCTCGCCCTGGACTCTGGACCCATGTGCACGTGCACAGATCAATGCATCTTTAAAAGAAAACCTGGCCATGCCCTGAGGCTTTCTGCGGAGCAGTTTGTCGCATCTAGCCGTCTGGAGAGTCGGTCTTCCGACTACTCCTGCTTTAGAGATGAGTAAACTGAGGCTCACAGGAGCTCAGGGACTGGCCTGGTTGCAGCTAGGCTTAGGGCCGGCAGCAGCGATTTGTGCCAGGCCGCTTACGCTCTCCGTCGCCATGCGTGTCGCCGCTGTCTGTGTGTCTATCCCCTGCTCAGAGATTTGGGGTTTGCAGAGGCTCAGAGCGAGCTGGCTGGAGTTAGGGTGCAGACAGGCAACATCGGGCAGCCCCCTGCTGTCTCAGGGAGACAGGGGAGAGGTGGCCCCTGGGCAGCCAGGGGAGGAAGCCAACACCTGCCTGGTCTCTGGTCTGGGAAGCGCCCGCCTGGGCCGGGCTGGAGGCCCCGAGAGGAGCCAAGAGAGAGGCCTGCAGCAGAGGACGCAGGTCCCCCTCAGGCCAGGCTTCTCCCCGGGCTGGACACAGGCCTGGGGCCTCGGGGGCAGAGGAGGGCCCAGCTGGGGACTCCGAGGCCAGCAGAGGCCGAGCCGGGCCTCTGGGCTGTCCTGTCTCGCTGCCGCTAGGAGGCGGCCGGGCAAAGGGGCAGGCAGAGCTCGGAGCGGGTGCAAGGGAGGGCCCGGAGTGCCCCGGGCGTCGCTGTCTGGACAAGGGGCCCCCCGGGGGCGTTGGCGGAGCCAGGGGTGGGGGGGCCCGCTGGGGCGCGCATGGATAGGTCCAGGGCTGAGTCAGCAGCGCCCCTCAACACCGGGCTCCATCGCGGAGAGTCTCACTCAGTGCTGCTTTGTCCTCAGCATCCCCTCCTGGGAGTTTCTCCCGTCCCCGGATAGGACGGGCCGTGGCTCGGCCCCTTGAGTGGACAGAGCACTGGGAACGGGGCCACAGTGCGTGGGGGGGGAGCGGCAGGCCCCCCAGTTCCCGTTCATCACGTTGATTGCTAATTCCCCTCTGCTCCAGGACAGGCTGTGTCCCCCGACAGATGGGAAAGCCCAACCCCGGGACCTGTGGCCGTATCTGCAAAGGGGCTTTGGAGATGATCGCAGACGGTCCGAGGAGGCCGTGAGGGTGGGCCCAACCCAACAGGCCCTGTCCTTATGGACATTCGGCGCGGAAAGAGCCAGAGGGGGCAGCCTGCGCGGGGGACCACCCCGCGCCGGGGCCCTCAGCGAGGAGCAGCGCTGCCCGCCCGAGTCGGCCCCTCAGCATCTGCGCCTGTGGGCAGTAGCCTCCGTGCCCGCTAAGCCCCACGCTGTGGCATCTGCTACGGCGCGGCAGCAAGCTGACGCGCTCTGCCCTCCTGGGGCGGATGCTGGCGTCTGGCTCATGCCCCGTCCCACGCTTCCCCTGAACCACTAATTTCCCGTGGCACCGATCAGGCACTATTTCCATTGTCTTAGGCACTCCTAATCTGTTGAGATTGTCCCTTATCACTGTTCTCTTTGCTCACTGTTTCCCCCCGAATCTCACATGCTCTTCTGGGAATTTGCACATTTCTATTATAGTCTGATGTTCTCGAAATTTCCCTAAGAGACCCGGTGACAGTGACGTTCCTCACGTGAGCTTCTATATGAGTCCATTCGAAGAAAAGTATTAAGCAATCAGGAGGTGGGTGTGGAGCCTGTGGGAAAAGCTGTCTAGTGCGGTGACGGGGGCTGAAGGTGGAGATGCTGGGGAAGGAGCCGTCGAGCAGTCACTCCGGGGGGAGGAGAAGGCGCCTCCCCGCGCCTCTCCCCACAGTGCCCGGCCTGGCTCGCCAGGGGAAGGATCACCATTCTAAGGGTCTTAGAAGTGCTTGGGCTTCATGTGGCCGCAGCTGTGAGAAAGCCCGGGGGGCTCTGCCCGCCAGGTGGGAGGCACTGGGGTCGCTGCTGAGTGAGGGTCAGCGGGCGGGTAAAGGCAGATTACCTGGCTGCGCGGGCACCGGGCTCCGCACGGAGGGGGGGGCAGGCCGGGGGGCCTGGGCTGAGTCGGCCCGTCTCAAGCCTGCAGGGGAAAGGAAGGGAGACAGTCTTTCATGTGACACAAACATGCATGCACACATGTATCCGCACAGCATGTCTAGACATGTATACTCACCCACATACACGCATGTCGTGTGCGTGCACACGCCTGCACACCGTGGAAGCATGAAGAAGCTTACTACGGGTCAGCAGACACAGTCAATGCCTTCAGAATCTGAACTGAGAACAGCACCACCTCCAGACTGACCAGAGTCTGTGCCCAGAGGCCAGAGGCCCACACGGGTCCTGAGTCCTCCCCCTCTAATGTCAGAGCCAGTCTCGTGCCCTCCGCACAGTAAGACGTGAAGCTGCTCTGAGCTGCCGCACAGGGTTATAGGACGGCTCTGCCCAGCTAGCAGGCGCTTCTCTTGAAGTCCCGAGCCAAGGCTCCAGCCAGTGGACACACTTGCCAAACAGACTGAGGCCTGCAAGCGCTGGCCCTGCTGGAGTGAGGGCGCCTGTGGGCGCCGCCTGGCCACGCTGACTCGGTCCTGCCTCACGACGGCAGCGGCCACTTGCCAAAGGAAGAAAGCTCTTGGCTCAGAGCCAGGGGCGTGTCCTCCGGAGGTTTCTCGGGAAAGGAGGGCAATCACATTTTCCTTACAGTTGGCATTTGAGCAAGAAGAGGCTGTAACGGGAATCCTGGCAGACTCAGAGCAGCTTCTGGACCCTGTCCCCAGCACTGAGGACGCACATGGCACCCAGTAGGTGCTCAATCAGCGCTGGATGGAGACGTGAAGGAAGCACCATCCTTGTTCTCGCCCTTCTCCTCCGGGACAATGGCTGCGTTCCCCCACTCTCTCACCTGCGGGGCTCCGGCTGGTGTCTCCTGCAGCACCCCCACTGTGGCCTTGGTCCCAGCTCTCTGGGCCCCGGCTGGATGAGCTCATTCGCGTCTCAGAGGCCCTGCGCACAGGAGGCCCGTGGCTGCCCCGTCCAGGAGCAGAGGCTGGGTCCGGGCCTGGAAGGGGAGCACACAGCAGGGAGAAAGGGCAGTGGCGGGAGGGCGTGGAAAGACGGGTCCATCCCCAAGGGCCAAAGAGAATCAGCACAGCTCACCTGCCTTCTGACCCAGGCCCCTCCTGTCCTCAGTGTTGCCTGGAGAGAGAAGAGGGCGGAGAGTACTTGCTTTAGGGTGTGTGGAGAGCTCACTCACCACCCGCCCCTCCCAAGAGAATTTTTTAAAAATCAGTCTCTTCCCGACCCCCCCTTGGATGTAGCCTCTGTTCGCAGTTTCCTATTTTTCCCTCGCAGACACAAGCACAGAGGCTCACATTTAGAAAGAACCAACCAGGAGCACTGGCTGTGTCGCATTCCAGAAGGCACTTTGTTCACTTGATCCGATTTCCCCCAGGACTCGGGCAGGCTCCACCTCTAAGCCACTGGCCCTGGATGGTTCCTTAGGCTCCTGGTTGTCCTGTCACGTCGCTGGGTCTCTGCAGTGCCACCTCTCCCACTGCCTTCTCTCGGCCAAATGGAGCCTCCTGTGACACCCGTCACCTTTACCTGCTGCATTTCCCTCCCTAGCCCTTGGTGCTACCCAACGATATAATGTACTGATATTTACACCTGCTGTTTGTCAAGCATCTGCTTCCCCCACTGGGATTTTAGATACACATGGGCAAAGAATCTGTCTGTTCCACTCACCTCTCACTGGAAGTGTTCAGTGAATGTTTGTCAGAAGAATGTCGAAAGCACATACTGTGGCCGAAACTGTAACTCTACGTAGTATGTTCTTACATTATTTCCACTTCACAGATGCTCAACATACCACGCTGTGGGTATATTGTAACCCACTCACCAATTTACTTGTCAATGAACATTTAGATTTTTCCAGTGTTTTTGCTGCCATAGTTAATGAGGCAAAAAATATACTGATTCACTTATCTGTTTATACTGATACATTTATTGCTGTTAGATGTATTCCCAAAAGATTTGCTGGATCAAATATATTTATACTTCAAATTTTAACTCACCCCCCCATTACTGTCCAAAAGCTTGGAAGTGATAGTTTGTAAAGCACATACATCCACACATTCCTCACTACTGGATGTTATTACCAACAGTTTTTAGGTGTCACTATGCAGTGTTGGTGATGTTACTTCCTTCTAATGAGATAACATCAACCATATCATCAAAGTTGACCTGAAAAGCTAATTATGACATTTATGTATATCATTGTGGAGGGGACTGATGCTATGTAATGTTAACCAATGTGTCTGAACTTCACTACACTCTGTGAAGCACTTCGCATATAGTGTCTCATTTATTCTTCAAAGCAACCTGGAGAATCACTAACCCCACTTTGAAATGAGAAAAGAATCTCAGAGAGGAAAGGCCACTTGTTCAAACTCACAGAGCCAGAGCTAGAATTCAAATTCAGGTGCACTGGGCTTCAGAGGTCTTAGACTTGATATTATTCTGTACAGATTTCTTAGCTTAAAGAGAACAACGCTTAACCAGGAAGAAGGGTCTCTAGTGGTGGATCCAGAGTTCCCTGGGAAGTCAGGGTGTGCTGAGAATGTGGCCACTTTCTGCAAGGAGAAGTTGCTTGTGCTTGTCGGAGAGAAAGGATCTGTTGGATGTCTTTAGGGACCAGGAAGGATCAAATTCCCCTCAGGTTCCAGGGTGTGGTTTGGTGGTGGGTGTCTCTCAATTCCTAATTTTAATCTCCACCCCTGTGGTACCTCTAAATATTCTATCTGAGATGACAAGGCCTTTTGGCAGCCTGCCCTTGCCGAAGGTTTCCCTTACAACCCTCCTGATGAAGTTCAGGGTGAGCAGTGACGGGGATGAAGGAGTCCCAGACGTAAGCCCACAGGTTGTGTGTCCACCAGCTAGTAGAAGAGACCTGGGGGGCCAGGACCTCTTCTAGGTAGACCCTCAGCTAAGATCTGTCTGCGGTCCTGAAAGGAGCCACTCTGCCCTACCTTGTGTCGGAGCCCGGGCTGTGTGCTCGGGGGCAGCAGGCTGGCCGACAGGCTGCTGGGGTTTGGCCTTCTTTATAGGCATAGGCTGTGGGAGGACCTGTTTGGGGAAGCCCTTGAAGAACCATGCTCCAGAGCGCTTCCACACCTGGAGGAGGAGAAGCACAGGGTGAAGCCTCCCTAAGCAGCGATCACAGCTGCTCCTGCCCTGACGAGTGTCCTCAGCGCCCCGACTTCTTACCAGTACGCAGCTTTTCACAGCTCCCAATTGAGTCACACAGGCTCAGTAGAGAGCGCCCGTGTATCCCCACTCTTTTGATGAAGAAATTTGGATGTCGGAAAGGTTAGGAATGGGTGTAAGCTCAACAGTCACAGAGCGGACTGAGCACCAAGTATTCCCTTTTCTAACTGAGGCGTGCTCCCTGCTTCCAGGAAAATGAAAATCACAGAAACAGAGATGAGAGACTCATTCGAACACTCAGGAGATACCCCACCATGTTCTCTGGCAAGCTGGTTCCTTTCCTACCAGCTCCTCAAGACACAGGCCTGGCCACATGTCCCAGCCCTCACTACCCCATGTCTGTGGTTCTGGAGAGGAAAGCGGAGCTGACTACAAGGGAGGCGCTCTGGAAGCCACACGGGACAGTGACTCACCTCCCGCTGCTCGATGCAGATCTTGCAGAGCCACACGGAATGTGGGCGCTTGTTGGAGGTCTCCACGCCACACCTGGCGCAGACATTCTGAGGACAAAGCACAGCCCAGAGCACACTCAGACCGGCCAGGCTCCGGGCTGCCCGTGGTGTGGGAGTGGCCGGGGGGCGGCGAGAGCCCTTCTGCCTGTGAAGAGCTGGCTCTTCTCTCACCTCCCTGCACGGCCAAGGCCCGTTAGAATAACGTCCCCACTTGAGCTCTGATTTCAATACCAAGACCCGAGTCATTCCCAACACTGGGGAACGGGATTCTCCAGGAGGCTCTGTGGGGTCTGAGTTTTCAGCCAGACTGACATGATTGACGTGATTTTTTTTAAAAGAAAAAGTCACATAGGCATTTTATCCATCAATATATTTCGCCTTTGTTCCCAAATGAATCTCAGGCCACCCAGCCTAGGACCACACATTCAACTGCTCGAGGAAAAGGGAGCATCTGAATTAATGTCAGGACTGGGATAGAACACTGTACCTTTGGCTGAATTTCCTGGCAGGCGAGACAAAAACAAAGACCTAATAGGTCCCAATATTGTCCCCATTGGTTGACTGCAGCAGATAAATGTCTTTGGAGTAGATCAAATTTCCCCAATATTCCACTCTAAGTGCTACCTGGAGCCCTCGGCAGGAAATGCCAGGAGACACCACAGATGTCTCCAGCTGGTTGTTCCCCTTAATTCTCTCCAGAACAGCTGTATTTGCACCCTGGAACTTCCAGGTGCAGACGGCTTGAGGAGAGGGTGGAGGGCAAAGAGCGCGGGGGACACCCCTGGAGAGTGAGAGCCCCGAGAGCCCAGAAGGCTGCCGTTGGCTGCAGAGCGTCTCTGAAGCCCGTGCGGAGCCTGCGTGAGGCAATGCTGGGCTGGGCCTCCGGGGCACGCGCCCCCCTAGCCTGAACGCCTGGCCCAGGCACCGGCAGGCGAGCGGCTGCGCCACAGCCACGTCCCGCCTCAGGCTCCCAAGTGCATCCTGGATGGAGCCGGGTCCGACGCTCAGGGAACCTTGAGAGAGGAGCCAGGGCCAGAGTTGCCTTGGAAAACAGCTGGGCATGGGGGCAGCCCAGCAGGCGCTGGCCACGACCCTCCGACCCTCCGGCATCCAAGGCCCACCCAGAGCCCCAGGGCCCCTGGCTGCCGCCCGAGACCCGGCCTGGCTGCCTGTGGGGAGCGGGGGGCGCAGCGGTACCTTCTTACAGTCCTCACACACGACACAGGTGGAGCCCAGCACCCCTAGCTGCTCTCCACACAGAATGCAGCGGTTCACGCCGTCCCCAGCCACGTTCTTCCTCATGTTCTCCAGACGGTCCACCAGGCGCCTGGAAGCACAGACAGCAATGGGGACCCCAGGAGCAGCGGCGAGTCTCGGCCGCTTTGAGCCAAGGAGCTTCGGCGTCTGCCGGTGGCTGTTGGGGCCCCCCAGAAGACGCCCATGCATGTGCAATTCAGAAGCATTTCAGAGCGCGCCCAGACCCAGAGAGAGGACCCACCCTCCCACGCAGTCCGGTGCGCTTCAGCTGGAGAATCTGGCCTAGTCCTTTCTGTGTCCTGCCGCCTCCTCCCAGGAGCTGGCTCCTGGCTCCAGATCTAACTGTCTAGATGGCTCCTGCGTGGGAGTCTTCACGGGCACCTCAAGCTCATGCGCTGTCCTGGCTGCTCTCCACTCCCGGGCCCAGCAGACTAGCTCCTGCTTCTAGGAAATCGCCCTGCCACCCACTAAATGGCTCCAAACAGAAAACTGGGCCTTGGGGGCCTTCCTTGATCCCCCACTCTCCTGGGCATCAGTGGCCCTCCCCATCACACCCACCTCCCTAGCCCTTCCGGAATCCACTACTTCCCTCCATTCTGACGCCAGCCAAGGACCAGCATCTCCCTCCTGGACAGCCGGAGTAACCTCAGTCCCCTGTGTGCCTTCCGCAACCTGTGCTCCACCACGTGGGGCTGATCTAAGCACCAATCTGACCCCATCCTGCTCCCCAACCCCCCCCCCCCGTGAAGCCTCTGCCCCAGGCAAGACCTCAAACCGCACCGCCCTTCTTGACTGATGTCCAGCGTCCTGGGCCAGCGGCTCTCCGGGTGCCACCAGGCCCCGCTCAGCATCACTGGGGAACGTGCTAGAAACACGGCTTCCTGGCCTCACTCTAGACTCAGTGAATCAGAGGCTCGGGTGGGCCCAGCAATCCTCTCTAACAAGCCTTGCAGAGGACTGTGATGCTCGAGTAACCCCGCTGCTGACTCCTGGCACCCCGAGTCCCCATCAGCCTCAGTGCTGGTGCACGTTCTGTCCCCTCTGCCTAGAATCCGCTCTCTTGGGCTCTCTCTCTCTCACACACTCAGACTTTCCAGTCTCCACTCCCCTGACCCTCCCGCTCCTCTGACCACCCATTTTATTAGCTCTGACTGAGCCCTGCACTGTGGCAGGCGAGACAAAAACAAAGACCTAATAGGTCC